TCAATCTGCTCCTATGATAATAACATTGCTTAAGAGTATTTAAGCTAATAAGTGTTGGTGCATTAAACAAATATCCAATTATTGTTTATATCGTGTAGCGTGAATAAGATAGCAATGTAAGAAAATTAGTACGGCCGGTTACCCTAGTGATTAAGATGTATGTTACTTGAGTGCGAAGGAGCCAGCTGAAAATCAGCGCAGGAACGGCTTAGTCCGTCCTGCATACGCTGAGCTGGCTACCTTTTGCCACGAATATGTCACCTTTAGAATAAGTCTTTGTTATATAATTTCTACTTTGTGGCAATAAATACATTTTCATTTCATTTCAAAAAAATCGTTGATAAATTAGCAATCATAGCTAGTAATCAGAGAGAATGTTCCAGATTGTTTCCGCTTCGGGTATTCGCATGTTACGTTGTGGGAAATTGATTTCCGAAGCTACAGTCGTCGGCAAACACCTCATTTCACGGTCGACGTGTGACAGATCTCTCGCTGATTTGATTATCGTAAGTTTTAAAACGAAAAGTCGTAAAATTCAGCTTTCCAATATTGCACAATGCGGCACGGCGTCACAACGTCCTGTGTGGCCACGCCACGTGCGTTCCGTTTTCAACAAAATATTTGTCCATGCTTCAATGAAGTTTTGTCGACCGATTTTTTTTGACACCTACATTATATAAAAACTGGGCGCCAATAGTGAATATGGCGTGCGTTTTGCGTCTCTACGCGACTCTACTTGAAGTAACAATGCTTAACACTTTGTGTTCCTTTTCACGGTACTTTTCATCTGTGTTTTTAACTTTTTGTAGACTTTAGGAATGAGTTATTGGTTCCGATTTGTTGTAAAATGTTGTGACTAGTTAAATACTTTTTGGTTTCCGGTGTCAACCAGAAATGGTTTTTCAAAAATCTTTACTGTAGATTTTTAATACTATAAATTTATGGTTAGAGATTTTTTTATTTACGAAATGTCAATGTTTTGACATGATATAGGAGGAAGGGTGGCTGCAATATTTCTTAGACACGCTCAATACACGAACGCTCGAAAAGCTTTTGTTCTCTCTTTTCTCCTAAAAGGCTGTGAATTATTAAATATCTGAAGATGCTCAAAAACATTTGGTAAATTATTAAATATTATGAATAGGAGACATAAATGCGATGTGATGTTAAGATCACTCAAAACTCACCAACATAAAACATACCTAATGTCTTTTTCAAGACCGAAGTTTTGTACAGCCGTAAATTAATCAGATTTTAAAGTAACTACTTGTATAGCCTTTTAAATACATTTTTTTAAATATTTAGCGTTATAGAATTAATAGAAGTTAACCTGAAGAAACTTATAACAATGTCCATTCGAAATCAACGATTTTATTTAATTTCTTAAGACGTCATAAATGAATACTTCACTTGTCTATGCATTTACTACATAAATGTAAATACTCGAAAAGCATGTAAAGTTATAAAACTTATTCATAAAAGCTACTGACCAGGTGTACAAAAGCTCTCAAGAGTTGTTAGATCTACTTAAATGAAATTAACTTAATAAACTTTCGTTGCATACGAGATATGATCTCTTTTTTGTTTAGCGGCTGTAATTAAAAATGTAATATTAGAGTAACAATTTAATTGCTTAACCCGATTGCAGTCGAACATATAATACTTTTTTATTTCAATTAATTTACCAGGACGTTCACCTGGTACATTATTGTAGGTAAATAAATTACACGAATATCCAAATATTAATCATACTGTCATACTAATATTATAAATGCAAAAGTTTAGATAGATGGATGGATGGGTGGATGGATGGATGGATAGATGGATGTTTGTTAGAGTTTGTAGCCTAAATGACTGAACAGATATCGATTAAATTTGGTACAGATGTAGAGGATAGTCTGGAAGAACACATAGGCTACTCACTTTTGTTTTTTTTTAATCCCACGCGAACAGAGTCGCGAGTGAAAGCTAGTATATAAATATTTTACATCCTCATTTGAGAGAGTTAAAAGTAGTTTTTATGTTTCATGTACATATAAAGTACTAGTTGCTGCTCGCGACTTCATCCTTGTGAAATTAAAAAAAATATAGCCTATGTTACTCACAGATAAATTACCTTTCTAACGGCGAAAGAGTTCTTTAAATCGGCCCAGTAGTTTTTGAGATATCTAAATAGGTACATACAAAAATCCAAAAATGTAAATCTTTCCTCTTTACAATATTTGTATAGAGAGACTAGCTGCTGCTCGCGACTTCGTCCGCGTGGAATTAAAAAAATAATACAAATTAATAAAAAAACAAAACCGACTTCCAAACAAAATACACGAAAAACAAAACAAAATGCACTAAAAACAAAACAAAATGCACCAAAAACAAA